CAATCTCAAACTCTTGGGCTTGAACAATCCTCTTGCCTCAGCATCCCAAATAACTAGGACTACATGCATGCACCACAATGCCTGGCTAGGTATTCCATCTTTAGGAGAGCTGGGGTCTATCTAGCTCTTGCTCAGGCTAGTTTTGAACTCCTGAACTCAAGCAATCCACCTGCCTTGGCCTCCCAGAGTGCTAGGATTACAAGTGTGAGCCACCACACCCAGCCTTCCTTAATTTCTTGAGTATTTTTCAAGGGAGTGTCATTTGAGCTGTCTTGGGCAATATGGTGGAGGTGCATACGTACAGGCTACATAAAAGAAATGAATTTCAGCAATCTTAAAAAAAATCTGGCAGGGCAGTGCCCATAGCTCAGTGGATAGGGCGCCAGCCACATACACTGAGGCTGGAAGGTTTGAACCTAGCCTGGGCCAGCTGAAACAACAATGACAACTGCAACAAAAAAATAGCTATAGTTCCAGTTACTAGGGAGGCTGAGGCAAGAGAATAAGCCCAGCAGTTTGAGGTTTCTGTGAGCTGTGACACCACGGCACTCTACGGAGGACGACATCATAGTGAAACTCTGTCTCCAAAAAAAAAAAAAAAAAAAAAAAATCTGGCAATCTTGAAAGCCTTTAGATTTCTTCCTGTACAGTATCCTGAGAAAATGCTGGAATCTCAATCTCAGTGAATGTTAGGCCATTTTTTAGTCAAGCTTTCATATAATCTATGAGATAAATTAAAACATATGTACACTAAAAGACTTACACATAGGGCGGCACCTGTGGCTCAGTGGGTAGGGCGTCGGTCCCATACACCGAGGGTGTCGGGTTTGAACCTGCCCCAGCCTAACTGCAACAAAAAATAGCTGGGTGTTGTGTTGGGCACCTGTAGTCCCAGCTACTCAGGAGGCTGAGGCAAGAGAATTGCCTAAGCCCAGGAGTTGGAGGTTGCTGTGAGCTGTGATGCCAAGGCACCTACCAAGGTCGATGGAGTGAGACTCTGTCTCTTAAAAAAAAAAAGACTTATACATGAATGTTCTTAGCAACTTCATTCATAATAACTCCAAATTGGAAACAACTCAATGTTCATTGACTTGTGAATAGATTAAAAAAAATTGTGACCCCCCCTCCCTGCCCCCACCTTCTGTGGCTGCTATCCTTCCTCTTTAGAGTCATATTGGATTCAGGACTTACCTGTGAAGCTTGCAGTCTCTGAGCTACATCCAGGACATGAAGCACAAGGGTTTGCTGTTGTTAAATTTCATCCCAATCTAACTAGAATTTCCAAGAATGTCTATTATGTTGCCCTCAACCTCCAACCCTGACTGGGGCTCAAGGATGGGGGATCAGGCACCAACCCTGACTTAGGGACCCAGACAACTTTTAAGCTTTAGTCACACCCACTTCAACCTCCTTCTCCTATCAGCTGGTCACAATTTCCTAGTGATAGAAAAACTGCTTTGATGTCATATTTTACATTCTTCTTTACTCTATGACTTGCCATTCTTCCTCAAGAGCCCAGCAGTTTCAAGTGTCTTTAAATTTAATAATCATAGGCTAGAATAGCATATTTTAATAATACCTTCAGAGGGAAGGTAAATAGAGTCTCTAGAATAAAGAAGTTCATTGGGTTTCTGAGAGATATTTCTAATCAGTAGCTGAGACAAGAATTCTGAGAGCCTAGACAATAGATTCAAGATCACTTTGACCTTCATGCTGTTTCTTCAAAGCAGAAGATGAAATTCCCATGTGAAAGAAAGATACTCTGTCTGGACTAAAAGGAAAGGCAACACTCTTATCTTTGAGGATGAGAAATTGAGACCAAGAGAATACCGCATAAGGCTTGTTAGAATCACTCTTCTAAGTCTCCACACATAATTTAGCCACATTTTCACAGTTTACTATTCTTTGCCTAATCTGATATAGAAGTAACTGATACTAACTGCTTCTTTGAGTCTTCATTTCCCTTTGAGGGCTCCTGTGCCATGTAAAACTTACAAATAAATTTGTATGCTTTTCTCCTATTATTCTATCTTATGTCAGTTTAATTCTCAGACCCAGGATGGAGGTGGATTTTTTTTTTTGAGACGGAGTCTCACTTTATCGCCCTTAGTAGAGTGCTGTAACGTCACAGCTCACAGCAACCTCCAACTCCTGGGCTTAGGCGATTCTCTTGCCTCAGCTTCCTGAGTAGCTGTGTCTACAGGCACCTGCCACAACGCCTGGCTATTTTTTGTTGCAGTTTGGCTGGGACCAGGTTTGAACCCACCACCCTCAGGATACGGGGCCAGTGCCCTATGCACTGAGCCACAGGTGCCTCCCAGATGTAGGTGAATACTTTTTTTTTTTTGAGACAGAGCCTCAAGCTATCCCCCTGGGTAGAGTACCATGGCATCACAGCTCACAGTAACCTCCAACTCCTGGGCTCAAGCGAGTCTCCTGCTTCTGCCTCCCAAGTAGCTGGGACCACAGGCGCCTGCCACAACACCTAGCTATTTTTATTTTTTTTTGGTTGCAGCTGTCATTGTTGTTTGGCAGGCAGGGCTGGATTTGAACCCACCACCTTAGGTGTATGTGGCTGGTGCCTTAGCTGCTTGAGCCACAGGCGCTGAGCCAGGAGAATATTTTTCTGCCTTTACACTTCTAAGATCAGCACATAACTACTGTTTGAATGATGGCAAGAAAACTAAAGAGCACAAACAAACTTCTAAATCCCTCTAATTCCCCTAAATACAGTTGAACCTTTAAAGTTGACCGACTCCGGACATTGACCACCTCCTAATTTTCATAGCCTGGACACACATCTCATGTACCTATCAGTACAGTAGGCCTACTTCCTTATCTTGATCACTTCCGTCAAGTTGACCAGTTTGTTATGGTCCCTTGTGTGGTCAACTTATAGAAGTTCTACTGTATTATCCCACTATGTTTGATATGGCATATGAGTTGGTATTAAATTGGCCAACAGAGACCAGTGCCCTTCAGGCATTTACCGGGGAGTAAGATTTGGATGCCCATGTCACCCAGTAGTCATTATAATCTCTATTAAAAGAAGGATTGCCTGAAAGACACATAGATATTTCAGATTTTATAAAATCTATTCCTGACATTAGCCAAATCAGCAGGAACCTAGACTGCAATGTATTGTTGTTGTTGTTGTTGTTGTTGTTGTAGTTTTTGGCCGGGGCTGGATTTGAACCTGCCACCTTCAGCATATGGGGCTGGCGCCCTACTCCTTTGAGCCACAGGCGCCGCCCCAATATATTGGTTTCTTTAAGAATTGCCTTTGCTGAATTGCTGTCCAGTGTGCCATCATTTGCCTACAGTTAAGGTGGTTATAGGAAACTGCCCTAAAAAGGTCATTGTTTCACTTATTCCAGGCTCATCAGAAAGGATGTTCATTTCATCACATAGGGTCCCTTCAATGAGTTCCTCCAGGAGAAACTGCTAACTATAATTTGAACCTCAAATCTGTATACTTAGCACCAGTCTGTAATTATCTTATAAAGTTTGTGGAAAGTATGTTTTGTCACGTTTTCCCTTTCACATTCACAGCTAGGAAGCTTAGATCCAAATTTGTAACCAACCTACAGTATTTAGGTCATTATGGCAGCATTTTTGAGATAGGGAAAAGGCAGGCCCTTGCCCAATAAAGCGTCGTTAAAGACTGAACCTGGTCTCTGATAACACAAGAGATGGAAAAACTGTCCCAAACTAGCTAGAACCTAAATGGCCACAAAAAAAATCATCTCACTCTTGCTCAGGCTGGTCTCAAAATCCTGAGTTCAAGCAATCCACCTGCCTCAGCCTCCCAGAGTGCTAGGATTACAGGCATGAGCCACTGCGCCTGCCAGCTTTTTGTCTTTTGGTTTTGCAATCACCTCATGCTTATTATACCCTATTATACCCATCTTAATAATGTATTAGCATACTAAAAGAAACTCCTATGGGGCCAGGACAGTTTACAAATGCCGCAGCAATGCCTTGCAGTGTGGTCTGCAAACAGGTGCCAGACTCTCATGAGAAAGGTACAACCATTGAGGATAGCATCTAGACAATTTTATAGCCATTTGAGGAAGTAATTGATTACTTTGAATCTGAGAATTTAAAAACTGAACTGTATTTTGCATGTTCTTTTTTCCTCCTAGTAATCCATTTTCATTTTCATTCAGTCCACAACAGATTGAAAATTTAAAACATCACCATCAATAACAGCCTAAAACTAGTCTTTCATCACAAACAGTTTGAGAAGTAACTGGTTAAGGGTCCGAACCCACCTTCCCATGGTCACAATGTAGGAAGAGTTCAGCAAACATCCGCCTCTGCATGTCGGATTTTATGAACTCCCGGAATTCATCTGCATAGAGGCAAAGGTGCTTAAGGAGTTTCTCGAACATTTCATTTTTAAAGTCTGCAATATGCGAAATGATGTACTGCAGGAAAAAAAAAAGAGAGAGAGAGAGAGAGAGGGTAAATGATTGACTTAGAGCCTTGCTCTTGACTGGCTTGGATTTTCCCAAGGATTCAGAAATACTGGCTGCAAAATGTTTCCATGTCATTTGCTTATCACTCAGATGAAGTGGTTTCATGTTGGTGCTGCTCTATAGGCTGTGATGCAGAGAGGTAACCAATGGGAATAGATATCTTTGGAAAAATTTCCGTCTAGATCACATCAGCATTATATTATGTGGAGGGCAGACTTTGGTCACAGAATGAAATAGCAGCACTGCTGATAAAATGGTGCTTGTAAATTGAAAGTTTTAAACATCAAATATAGTTTTTCTACTGGCATATGGAATATAAGAACATGTGTGTTCCAAGACGGGTTTACATTTAATTATTGGCATGTAAGAGATGGGGATCCTGGGTAGCTTTTTGTCTTTTGTTTGTTTATAGTCTCACTCTGTATCCTCGGTAGAGTGACATGGTGTCATACTTCCCAGCAACCTCAAACTCCTGGGCTCAACAATCCTCTGGCTGGCCTCAGCCTCCCAAGTAGCTGGGACCACAGATGCCTACCAAATGCCCAGATAGTTTTTTCTATTTGTAGTAGAGACAGTCTCACTGTTGCTCAGGCTGGTATTGAAATCCTGACTTCAAGCAATCCATCTGCCTCAGCCTCCCAGAGTGCTAGGATTACAAGCATGAGCCACTATAACTCACAGCTTTTTGACTTTTGGTATTGCAATAAGGCATATTTTACCAGTGGGGTTTTTTTTGTTGTTGTTATTGTTGTTATTGTTGTTTTGGAAAGTGTAGGGGCTAAAAACATGTATAATATTAGGCCATTTATCTTAATTCCTGTTGAATAGATTTCCAGAAGTGAGAATGCTAGCTTAGAAGGCAATTGTTTCTATGTTTTTTGTGGGGTTGACATGCTGCTCATAAGTTTTTGCACTCCCACCACTAATGTATGAATGGCTATTTCCCCTCAGTCTCACCATCAATGTGTATTGATGTCTGGATTTTTGATAGGCTGAGAACAAATTACATTCTTCTTTTAACTAATTAATTTTTTTTTAATGGGACAAGGTCTCACTATACTGTCAGGCTGGTCTTGAACACCTGGGCTCAAATGATCCTCTTGCCTCAGCCTCCCAAGTAGCTGGAACTACAGGTGCCTGCTACTGTGCCCGGCTACAAATCACTTTCTTGATCTATACCTCATTATAAGAGATAGAAAGTATCCAGTGACAGAGAGAAATGATTGAGCACTGCACAAGTTTTTGAGTGGATGTATTAGCCCAGCTCACAGTCAGTAATTTCCTCCCCTCCTCACAGCACAGAGGTAGCCAAATTTATATTGCATGATCCCACTTCCCTCGCCATCAATGACTGGATCAGGGGAGAACACTTAACCTGACTAAGGTCATCAGATTCTCTCTATAGGAATTGGGGATTAGAACTGAGGCGTGGCCAGTGATCTTTGAGTGGATCTGGACTTGTGATGTGTAGAGGAGGCAAAACTTCCCCTCTGCCATCTTAGAGTCTTTAGCTGGGCCTGAGAATTAAATTATGCAAAATGAATTAACCCGAGAAAACCAAACAAATTTAATGTAAGTTTCATGTGACATGGGAACCCTCATAAGGAAATTAAGACCCAAAGAAGTGGCAAAATTGACATGGTTAGTTTGAACAAAGAGAGATAATTGTGGAAAAGTAACTAAATTATGTAGGGAGGGTAAAGGGAAGATAAAAGATAAGAATTATTTTAACGAGGTCTGTTTGTACAGAATTCTCTTGTCTAAGATTTCCAGCTACAGAATGTTTCCTTTCTCTTGGTAGAGAGAGGGCATCTTTCTTAGAGATTTTAATCCCTTATTTTCAGGAAGGAAAGGAGAGAATAAAGTGCTCTTCTTGTATCTGTGGTTTTTCTAGATCCTTTAGCTCAAAATAATCCTTATGCCGAAATAGCATATTTTAAGTTAGTATATTCTGCCACCCTTTGAATGTAAAATTGAGAGTTGTCAGACAGCCAGATTGCTCCATGTAAACCAAGGCTGCAGAGGAAGTCTGTCCACGGAGACAAAGTCTGGAAGCTTTCAAGGTCCCTATTCTAGTCCCTTCCTAAAGTCCTTGGATTATGCATATTTCATTTTCAGCTATATTAGTTCAGGTTGGTTTCTGGTTCTTATAATCAACATGTTCCAGTAATTTGCCACTAAAGAATCGTAATTTGTTTAAAATGCAACATTGTTTCTGGCATATTTCCCTGATGCATACTTTCTCAAGGTGATACTTCATTTCCTCATTGCCATCTAGGCAAACTTTGAATATGTTCTTAAAAGACATGTTCAGCTTGAATCCGTACTAATGAGTCATAAACCACTATTCAACGGGCTTAAAGATCAAGAGGAAAATTTACAGCAGAGCAAAAAACACTTTTCTAAATAATCGGTTCCCTTAGTTGTCATTCTTCTTTTTTTTTTTTTGTGAGACAAGAGTCTCACTATGTTGCCCTCAGTAGAGTGCCATGGCATCACAGCAACCTCAAACTCTTGGGCTGAGGTGATTTCCCTGTCCCAAGTAGCTGGGACCACAGATGCCCGGCATTTTTTTGTTGTAGTTGTCATTGTCGTCTTAGCTGGCCCGGGCCAGGCTTGAACTCACCTACCTTGGTATATGTGGCCAGTGCTGTAACCACTGTGCTATGGGTGCTGAGCCAATTATTCTTGAAAAATAAATGAGCACAGTTCTTTTTGAAGCCTGTCTAAATTCAAATTCCAGTCTCTATATTCCTTCATTTGTGAAATAGGTATCATAGTAGGTGGAATCTCTCTGGGTCATCGTGAGGGTCTTCTATACGACCCTATCAAACATACATAGTTTGGGTATTTCAGGTAATAAGTTCTCTATAGCCATTGCTCTTGTCTACTCTAGAGGCAGATAAGCAACTGGCCAAGAAAGTTTTCTTCATTGAATAAAACAGTCCTCTAGCTGACATACAACTTTCAAGGGAAAATCCAGTGAGATCAATGATTCACAGAGTGTGATCGCTAGACCAACAGTATCAGCATCACCTGAGAACTTGACAGAAAGGCAAATTGAGCCCCATCCCAGATTTAGTGAATCAGAAAATCTGCATGGCCAGCAATTTGTGGTTTAACAAGCCCCTCAGATGATTCTGATGCTCATTTAAGTTTGAGAATAACTGAACTAGATTACCTGGAGTAACTGGTCTTAATTAGTCCAGTATCTTAAGATCCTGTTGTTTGGTCCTTACTGATTTTTCACTTGAGTAGTATTATTCTAAATTACTCATGTGATAGAATTATTGAATAAGTGACATTTCAGCAATATTATGACTCAATCGCCAAAGCTAAAAGAAGAAATCTCTGGTTTATGAGAATCATCCTGTTTTATATTATGCTGAGAATTCAAAACCACAAGTTTTCTGGCTATGGAAATGCTATTGAATCAAGAATTAGTTAAAGGCCAGGTACAGTGGCTCATACCTATAATCCTAGCACTCTGGGAGGCTGAGGCAGGTGGATTATTTGAGCTCAGGAGTTCAAGACCAGCCTGAGGTGTGAGACCCTCCCCATCTCTAAAAATAGCTGTGTGTTATAGTGGGCACCTATAGTCCCAGTTACTTGGGAGGCTGAGGCAAAAGGGTCACTGGAGCCCAGGAATTTGAGGTTGCTGTGAACTATGATGCCATAGCACTCTACCAAGGGTAACAAAGTGAGACTCTGTCTCAAAAAAAAGAATTACTTAAAACCTCTCTCTGAGAGACACATCAACATTCTGGATTTCTAGTCTATGGGTTTTCTAAATTAGCATATTCTGATTGTAGGCTGGGTGGCATAAAGTCTAATAGTTGCCAATATTAACTACAAATCAAATGCCAAAGAGAACAATTATTGAAGTTTGCCAGTGTCTCTCATAAAAGCAGAAAAGAGTGAGAATACATGGGAGGCTTTGTGCTTTCATACCCTTCCAAGGAATGAATCAAATTGATTGCTTGGATTAATTTAAGAATATAATTACTACTCCTCTTTAGTTTAATAGCTCTGTGAGTTATTAAACATTCTAACTATAGTTAATCACATTATCTCTATACTCTAGGTCCAACTGTAATGAATTCTGGGCTTTATCTTTCTAACTTAATGCTGACAATGTGGAAATTGTCACCTTTAATAGAGTGGTACCTACTGTTAGGTTCGATGGCTCTGGACCATTGGGGTTCATATTTATTTGTAATTGCAGACACACTAGAGAGTTGACGAAGCAGGTGATATAAGAGCAATAGGAAGAAAACTATGTTTGGAAACTCTCTTAGCTATTAACTTCCCAATTGTATTTGTAAGCCCTGATAGTTTATAAGAAGTCTGCAAACAAGAGTACAGAATGTTGAAGTAAACAAATATTTGCTACAGTGTCTTTTATTGAAGAAATGGTGTGTTCATATAGCCTTTGGGAAGAAAATTAGCTTTCCAGTTTCAGGAAGAAAATTTTTAAGAAAAAATCAGTGCTAATTATATGCGGACAGTCCCCAACCTATGGTCGTTCAACTTAATGAATTGTTGCCTTTATGATGACACAAAAGCAATATATATGTTCAGTAGAAACTCTCCTCCCTCCCTCCCTCCCTTCCTTCCTTTCTTCCTTTTTTTTTTTTTTGATAGTCTCACTTTGTTGCCCTGGGTAGAGTACCGGGGTGTCATAGCTCACAGCAACCTCAAACTCTTGGGCTTGAGCTATCCTTTTGCCTCATTTTTTCTAGTTTTCTTTTTAGTAGGGGTCTCACTCTTGCTCAGGCTAGTCTTGAACCCCCCAACACAAGCAATCCATCTGCCTTGGCCTCCCAGAGTGCTAGGATTATAGGTGTGAGCCATCATGCCCAGCCCCCAAAACTGTACCTTCAATACCCATACAACCATTCTGTTTTTCATTTTCAGTATAGCGTTAGACAATTTTGCCCAGCTGCAGC